CCCCGCACTGCCCAGGCCCCGCCCCGGCAGCCAGGACCGGGCACAGCCCAGAGTGGGAAAGTGACCTGAAGGCGGGGGTGGCCCCTCCGCCCACAGGAGAAGGACAGTCCTTGGCTTTAGAGCAAAGTTTGCCTCAGAGCCCTGGGGCGGTGGGGTAACCCGCGAGCCCGGGCGAAGCCGCCGACCTCCGAGAGCGCCGAATGCGGAATTTTGTGCCGCCTGACCCCGGCGACTCGTCCCTGGGAAATGGCCGAGGAGATTCTTTGAGCGCGGATGAAAATCTGTGTGTGTAAATGTTCACCAGGACTTTACTGCGTAAATAGCTGGAAACCATCTCAGTGAAACCCTCAGGGAGGGGGGAGCTCAACAGATCACGTGTGTCCGTAGACGCAGCAGTGAGGGGCGGTGACTGGGGCGGGGAACCGGGGTGCGGGCCCTGCTAGGGACGAGGGACCCGGGAGGCGCAGCCGAGGGCGCCGCCTGGTGGCGAGGACAGGTCGTGCGGCCAGGGCGAGGAAGGCGGGGGCCGCGGAGCGGGAGCGAACCCCGACCCCCATCTCTGCGGGGCAGGGGCTGGTTGGCGGCGTCACCTGTGCTCGCTGTTAAATGACCCTGAGCAAGTTTTTAAATCCAAGTAACACGTGCTGCGTTCTAACGGCTTGCGAGTTTCCCCGACACGCTTTTGGAGGAGACCCGGCTCTGCGCCTCCGTTTGGTGGACTTGGCGCAGGGGGCGTGGCCACGCGAGCGCCCAGGTGAGCCCCGCCCCGCCCCGCCCCGCCGGGGCACCTGCCCCGCCCCGGCCGCGCCTGCGCGCGCCCAGCCCGGCTCCTGGACGCCGGCCACCCCCGCCTCAACCCGCGCGGGCGCGGCCCCCTCGGTGGCTCCGGCCCCCTCCGCACCTGCTGACTCGCGGCGCCGGAGGGGACGGTGAGCCAGGGTGGGGGCGAGCGCCCCTCCGTGCTGGCGGCTGCCGGCGGCCTGATGGGGCCCGGGCGGGTGGGGCGCGTGGAGAGCCGGGCACTCTGGGGTCCGTTACTGGGCCTGGAGGAGCCTGGGGCCCGGATCCACCCCTGAGCGGGACCCCCGCTCCCGGCGCCGCTGACGGGAAGCACGGCCCCCTCCTCCCCACCTGTGGGCCCCGGGCTCCTCCGCAGGCCGCTGAGGATGCGCCTGGGGTGTTGGGCCCCCCATTCTGTTTCTGCCCCGCTGGGCCGCGCGCGCAAGGACAGGAGCGTTCGGCAAAACACCCTCCACGTGCTGGGGCCGCCGCCCCCTCCCCGCCCGGGGCTGGCCGGCTGGAGGGCAGCGCCGCGGGCCACATTCTCCGCCCCGCGCGGCCCGGGGCCTCCGCCCCTGAAGGGGAACCTCATCTCCCGGCCCCAACCCCTCGCGGCCCCCCCACCTCAGGGCGGCCCGAGAACGTCCTGCGAGAAGGGCTGGTGCAAGGCCGCGGCGCCCCCGCGGGGCCTTCGCTTACCACCTCCCTCATCCCGGGCCGGGCGGGCTCAGGTCGGGTTCAGGGAAGAGATGGGTCCCTCCCCCCGCCCAGACAATCACGCTGGGCGTTCGTGACCCCTTTCCTGTGCAGACAGACTCCTTTGCAAGTCTCAGTCTGGATGCTTTTTCCCAGAATCAGAAAGCCTGAGGGCTTCTCCTCGGGCGCCCGTCCTCACGGTCTGGCTGGGGTGGACACTGTTGGTGAAAGGCCGGGAGTCGGGTGCGCCTGCCCCAGGCAGCCTGGGCCAAGGCCCTACCTCTCCTGTGGTTGGGATTCCCGGTGACACCCGGAACGCGTCTGCAGTTTTCTGTTCTCAACCTCGTCTTTCTTCTACGGGACTAGACTGGAGTCGGCCATAGTGGTTTAAAGGACTTAGGGTGGAGTTTCTGGAGAGATGTTTGGGGTGTCAGGTGACCCTCTGCGGCGGGGAGGGCGACTGCGTAATGGGTGAGGGGATGGGAGAACTGAGGACAGCCGTGATTCAGGGAGCTTTTCTGTTGGATTTCTGCTTCTGGTTAGGACAGTGGGTTTTGTAGGGTGAGTCTGGGGCGGGCGTGTGTTGGGCATGGTGAGTGTGTGATGGTGACTTTCAAACTGTTCCTTCTCCTGGGAATCTAGTGGGCGCTCATTGAATGGCTCTTCAGCCTGAGTGGTCGGGAGCCATTTCCTTTCCCTCAGCACAGGGGTGGATGGTTCACTCCCTCCTGCTGCTGAATGTCCTTCACTGCCCCTGGAGAGGACCAGCTCTGCTCTCTGCAGCTCTTGCATGAGATCCGCTGATGTCAGAGATAGGTGACAGCAGAATAACAGAGTGAAGTTGTGTCCCAGACAGCTCATCTAGACCTGAGGCAGAGTAAGGAAACAGGCACTGTAGGAGAGGCCCGAGCCGCTACCCATGTGACTGCCCCCAGGTGAAAACAAGCACCAAGATGGCGGGAGAGGGGGACATATTGGGCAGTGGTCAGGCAAAGCCAGTAGATCAGGGAGTCGATCCTTACTGGGGCCCAGACCCTCTCCAAGGAGGAGGCTGTGCGCTCACTGGGCTGGCCTGGATTTGTCATCCCTCCCTTCCCTGTAGAACGCGGACAGCTTTGGGCCTGGTGGTTTCTTAAAATTGCCCGTTCCCTCCCAGAAAGGCAACTTATTGTTTCTGAGAGATTCTCCTCACCTTCTGGTCTCCAAAATAATCAGACATAAGGGTCCCGGCCTTGGTGAGAGGCGCTCGGCCTGGTCCTGAGGGTTGTCTAGGTCTGATGCTGCAGAGGGGTCTGCAGGTCATGTTCCACTCACCACGTCTGGACGTGTACAGTGGTCACCTGCCCGCTTACCTGGGGAAGGACACAGTGGCTCGAAGGTGCCAGCAGGGTGGGCAGAGCTGCTGGGTGTCCTGGTGCCAGTCTCTGTGGGAACAGGTTTCACAGGTGCTAGCTAAACCCCAGAGGCATGAGGGGCAGATCTGAGAATGACTCTGGTCCTAGGACAAGCCAGCCCCGTGGTGCACCCCCCTCACCCCCCCCCAGAGCCCTGGCTGGGGCCTTCCACCAGCCACCAAGGCACCCTCCCACTGCTCCTCCCCCCAGCCTGGCGCTAGCTTCCTGAGTACCCAGCAGGAAGCACCCCAGGATCCTGTGAAGAGAAGCTGGGGGCAGCGAGGGGGGCACTGAGATGGCAAAAGGGAAGAGCTCCCGAGAGGAAGAGCTAAGGACAGAGAAAGGAAACCTGCTGCCAGGCAGACACACAGCCAGGCCTTCACTCAGCCCCTGACCCCGCCACCCCCCCCCCATCACACACACACACACGCACAGTGTCAGGACACTGCGCGTCAAGGACACGGGAGCGTGGAGCAGGCTGTCAGGGCAGGACACTGGCAAGAAGGCAAGAGCTGGTCTTTTTAGGGACTGAGTGACTTAGCAGAGTCAGTTACTGGGGCAGAAGAACCAAGAGAAAAAGCCAGAAGGAAGCAAGTATAGGCGTAGGTGTCTGGGCTTTTTGGGGAGCTAAGTCTGAGGATCCGGATCAGTTTTATGGCCCACGTTTGAAGATGGAAATCCAGCTCCTGACCCCCACTCATGACCCCAATCTTATTAGCAAGGTGTCCGCTGACCAGCCTCAGGGATGCAGAGTCCATGTCAGTGGACGCTCCCTGAGCATCCTGGTCACATCTCGAGGCATCTGCTTATTGTCCCAGGGGATCCAGCGCCTGCTCTTGTGTGACCTGAGAGGAACCTTTGGGGTTGGTGGTTTGATTCTTTAAGTTTAGGTCATTGGTTGACTGGGCCAGATGGACTTTGGACTGGAAAGGCCAAACTGCATGGCCATACAAGAGAGGGGTCCCTAGGGAAAGGGGGGTTCCAGGCTCCCTGCCCCACCCAAGGGAGGGTGAGCTCATCAGGGGAGAGGAGAAGCTGGAGAAGAGCCTGGGAAAGGAAGGAAGATGATGGGAGCAGGAGGAGCCTGGAGCAGAGACACATGAAGAAGCTGCACCTACATCTTGGTCCTGGATGGGTGGAAACAGACATGGGTGAGACCCGTGGGGAGGTGACAGTGGCAGCACTGATCTTGATTTTGATGTTGCTGTTTTCCTCCTAGACATGTCTGGCTGCTTCTGCCCGTCTTCCATGGGTACCCGCCGGAAAGTGTTCTAGGTTTGTGGAGCTCTCGGGCCTTGCTCTGGGCCAGTCCCATTTGGGACTGGTGACTGTGATCCAGAGGACGGGTGACTGTGGGTGCTTGATTTGGAAATCTATTCTTGGTGTTGTCTGTATCACACACTAATCATATTAAAGATCCTTTCCACTGAAGGTCTATATGTTTTGTCTTGATGTGGCAGATGGCAGAATCTATATAGAACAGGCAGGTTTGGGGGTTCTGGGGTGCCCTCTCCCTGCCTTGTAACAGCCAGAATGGCAGCTTAATCAGCCCTTTAAGCCTAGGAGACACATACACATAAACACACACACACACTTTGTTCCTCACCCAGTTACTTCCAGGCTCTTTCCTCCTCTGACCAGACACATTTACAACCAACCTGTGTCACACCCCTTGCTCCTGTCTCACCCTGTGTTATCAGGACACATTTTTCACCCAGTAGCTCACATACACACACACTATCACGCACACAGTCACCTACAGAACCATCTACCTCAGATCTCAGCTCTGGAAACTGACGTGATTCCCCGCAGTCACCTCACTGCGCATTCCATGCTGAGCCCCTTCACCCAGTCCCCTTCACCCCATCCCCCGCCGTGGGTCTCGCCAGGGTCAGGCCTCAGGTGCTCAGGTGAGCTCCTTTCTGGGGGCCCTGACTCCACCCCCCGCCCCATGGTTGTCAGCTGTCCCTCCCAGGGAGGACTGTGGGGGCGTCTCAGGGTCCCTCTACGGTCGCTGCACACCGGGGTGGGCTGTGCTGTGGGCTCCACTCATGTCCCTGCGTCCAGCAGACAGCGGGGCGCAGAGTCAGCTGGTGAGTGCCTTGTGCACCCTCTGCCATCAGGGGACATTCTCCGGTGAGCCAATGAGGAGCCTGGGATTCCAGAGTGGAGAGAAAACGACAGCCTGCCTGGGCCTGCTCCCTGAGAGGAGAGAGAGGAACATCAGGGGCCTGGCCTGTGGCTCCTTCTCCCCCCCTCCCGCCAGGTGGGGATTACACACAGATCCTGCTGGCTGGACTCTGCCTCTTGGAGGGGTGTGTGCTGAGCGGCCCTCCTGGCTCTGCCCGTGTCAGGGGCGTCAGGGGCCTCCCTCACAATGGCCGCTGACCCTGCGTTCCTCCTGGGCTCTGTGGCGGCCAGTGCGGGGCTCAGGCTCCTCCAGTGGGAATTCAGGTCAGGGGTGAGATGCGGGTGGTGTCTGGTGACTGTGAGGGGCCCCTGGCAGGCCCGTGGCCAGTGGAGCAGAATGTTCCTGGGTGGGCAAGGCCCCTGAAGTGGACCCCGGGGCGCCTTGACCTCATGCTCGGGGATTTCTCTTGTCCGCACTCAGGGGACTGTGGCACGGATCCCCGGGGATCCCCTCACCGTGAAGGTTCTGACAGGGGGCTGCCCAGGAATGAACCCCGTGATCCTCCAGGCCCAAGAAAGAGCCCCCCAGGCCCCATCTGTTCACCATATACACCACATCTCCCTGGGTCCCCAACCTGGCCCCCCACTTCGCCATCCGGCAGCCACTCACAGGGAGATGGTCCTCGCCTTGCCCTGGCTCTGGGCCCCGCTTCTCCTGGGTCCCAAGGGACCAGCCTGCCAGGCCTGCCTCAGGAAGGCGTTTCAGGGGAGGAGGGTCCTCCCTGGCGGGTTCGCCCCTACCCCCACCCCCAGCCCCCCTGTGGGGTGGCACTGGATATTCACACAGAAATGGAGCAAAATAGCCCATGTCTTCTCTAAATATAGAATTAACCTAAAAATTCGGAGATCAATGTAGGGGGCACAAGTGTCCCAACAGTCAGGCTGAAATGTTTTGGATATAAATTTTATTTTGTTTGCACACAATTAAATTTCAAAATCTCTGAGACATGTCGAATTTAGACTCTAACCTTTGTTGGGGTAATTGCTAGGGTGAAGTTCACCTGGTAGAGAGAAGACACAGGCTGCCTCGTAGATGGGAGCTATGACCTTCTGTTGGCAACTGATGTAAGTTTATTTAGGGTGAAGTGTTTTAGACAAAAAATTCTCATTTTTAAAAGGGGTGCTTAATTATTATTGACATTTTAATGGTTCATTTAAACGCTATGATGAGTCCCAGAGGGTTTTCCTCCCTTTTCCTTCCTTTTCCTGAGTCTTAGCACCTATTTAAGTTTTGATCCTTCTGACCTTGTATTTTTTTTTCAGTGTTGCCCAGAAATGAGACTGCTGTTGAACTTCCACAAAAGTGTAAGTGACTATTTTAACTTCTTGATCTTTCTGTTGCCTGTGGAGTCTCTGCTGAAATGAACCTAGGTTTGAGCTCTCCGTTGAGGCAGAGCATGAAAGTGTGTTGCTTGCCAGGGCCTGGATTTTTACTGATGTGTAATGAGTTGATTTGTAGCACATGTCTTTATTCTATGTTGTTCTAATCTCTATGTTTTGCTTTCTCTACAGGCCATCAGCTGGCCACAGGGAGGCTTGGCCAGCCGCATCACATCCTGTGGTATGAAGAGTCATGGCTCCACTCATCATTTTGTCTTGTTCTTCCCACAGGCACATACAACTTCCAGAACTCTTGCTTGTTTGTTTGTTTGTTTTTTAATATATTTATTTATTTATTTATTTATGCATACAAGAGCTGGGGTACAGGCAGCGGTGCGGGGGTGAGAGGATTCACCAGAGACAGAGTGGAGAGCAGAACAGGCTGATGGACTGAAATCCACGGTTAAGGGGGCAGGGGGAGATAAGGGAGGTCTCCTGCACCCTGTGGGCTGCTCCCTGGCCATGGATTGAAGGACCTTGATGGCTTGACAGTGCTGAGACTTAACCCCTGTGCCATCAGAGAGGCCCAGCTTCAGAATGCTTGTATTCAAAAGCCGGAAGGCACCCAGATTTGAAGTACTGTCTTGTTTTATTATTATTATTTTTCTTTTGGAAACTAAAGCTATATAGCTGCGGATTAAGCAGAATAAATTTCGAAAGTTAAAAATGAAAAAAAATTCAGAATGGGTTTGTTTGGATTCACAAACAAGCAGGAGCCAAACTCAGGCCAGAAACCCCAACCCCTTCATCACTTCAAAAAAAAAAAAAACAAAACCACAAGGAGGTGACCCTGACATTAATTCCAGATCTGCTGTTCTGCTCATGGCTGCCTGACTGGCAGGAAGCCTGTCTTTGCATCCGTGAAAGTTATTTCTGTAACCACAATGGAATTTTTTTAAGACTTAAAAAATGCTTTTGGGGGGCGCGCGCATGCGCAGGCGTCGTGAGGAGGGACGAGGCAGAGCCGTGAATCCGCCGCCAGCTCGCCTGCCGGTCCACCCTGCCGGTCCACCCTGCCGGTCCACGCTGCCTGTCGCGCCGCCCGCCCCGCGGCGCGGCCGCCGCTGCCATGGGCATGCAGGTGGAGACCATCACCCCGGAGACGGGCGCACCTTCCCGAAGCGCGGCCAGACCTGCGTGGTGCACTACACGGGGATGCTTGAAGATGGAAAGAAATTAGATTCCTCCCGGGACAGAAACAAGCCCTTTAAGTTTATGCTAGGCAAGCAGGAGGTGATCCGAGGCTGGGAAGAAGGGGCTGCCCAGATGAGTGTGGGTCAGAGAGCCAAACTGACTATCTCCCCCGACTATGCCTACGGTTCCACTGGACACCCAGGCATTATCCCACCAAATGCCACTCTGGTCTTTGACGTGGAACTTCTAAAACTGGAATGACAAGAATGGCTGCCTTGTTAGCTCCCGGTTCTTGGATGTGCCGTGGAGAGACCTGGCGCCTTCAGATGCGTGCACGCGAATCCATATGGAGCTTTTCCTGATGTTCCACTACACTCTTTGTATAAACATCTACCCCGACTGAATGTGTTCTGTCACCCAGCTTTGCTCTTCCTCTTCCTCCTTGTATGTGTGTTGACCTAAACTATATGCCATAAACCTCAAGTTACTCATTTATTTTGTTTTCATTTTGGGGTGAAAATTCAGTTTAAGTTTTTTGGATATAGATAGGTTTCCAATTAAGTATTAACAGCACAAGTAATCAGTTAACTTTAGAATAGGAATGAGTGTGTGTGAGGGGGGTTACAAGAATCTTTATTTTTTTTTTGGCTGAAATTTTTATCTATTATATATTAAACATTCTTGCTGCTGCGCTGCAAATTACTCTTTCTATTTAAAACAGATTTGAGGCGCTTTTGAGGGCCACATTATTCTCCCAAGTAGAGAGATGTCCTTGGGTTGAATTAAAAGCCCTATTCAAAACTGAAGTGGGGAGGGAGGAGAGAGCCTTTGCCTCCACTGCCCCCCCCCCTTAAATCCTCTGCCTTTTGAAAGCAGATTGTTTTCACTGCGATGGACACTACAGGTATCTGTCCCCAGGCCAGCTGGAACCTCTGAAGCCTACTTTGTGGCCTGGCCTTCCCACCCACCCCCACCCCCCCATCCTGTGGTTTTTCTAATGGATATTCAGGACTTTCGTAATCTCCTACCTATCCAGACTTCTTCCTAAATTTTAAGAACTTTAATCGAAAGTTTAAATGGAAGGTGCTGTTTGTAGACACTTAACACCCAGTGAAAGCTCAGTCATCATGACAAATCCTTGAGTGTTCTCTTAAGAAAATGATGCTGGTCATCGCAGCTTCAGCATCTCATGTTTTTCGATGCTCAGTTCCCCTAGCTGATCTCAAAATTTCTTGGCATTTCCTTCCCTGCTCTCACCCCTTTGTTGTCCTGTGTAGTGATTTGGTGAGAGAATTTATTGCCACCTACCCCCCTCACCAGCCCCTGCACTACATGAGTTTCAAGTTTTATTATTGCAATAAAAGCGCTTTATGCTGGCTTTTTTCAAAAAAAAAAAAAAAAAAAAAGCTTTACCAGTTACTTTTCACCTGCTGTGGTATTTTCAGCAAGGTGTTTTCATTGACTTTTGTCCATGGTTCTGAACATAAAGGGGAATTGTGTCCATGACAGAATATTTGAAAAGGAGAATAAAACGTAATGAACAATAGTCAACTATGATTTTTCATCAAAAGCTAAATACATTTAATAGTTGGCTTACCTTCTTCCTACTATTTTCCAGTATATTGAAGTGTGAGCTACAAGGCCTGCATGTAAAGGCAGAGAGTGTAACTGTAGAGCTTCAGAATTACAAAATCAACTCCAATAACCAAGTCAGGAAGTACAAAATCACATCACCTGGTAACCCTCCCTGGTAAGGAAGCCCCATCATGACTCCCATTGAAACCAGCTCTGTTCTTCATTATAATTCATCACTTAAGCGTGTGTCACTAAATGTATAATTAAAACGTAGTTACAAGTTTAATAGCCTGACACGTCATGTCCACTTGGTGTCTGTGGCTCAGCCACCTGCAGCCATTCTTTGGGCTGGCATGTCTCCAGCTGAGGCACTTCTGTGACCTGAGATGCACTTAGCAGAGCCAGACCCCAAAATCTGGCCTCACGACCAGTGGGGGGTCATGGGGGGTCACCAAGTGGCTGTCATTGCATTTGCTTTCTGTGCTAGAATGACGCCCCGTCCAGGGACAGCTCAGTGCTCCATCATCGTTCAGCATTCATCATTGAGACATGAGCGCTTCTGGGTCATTGAAAACTATTAAGAACTTTGTTTCCAACCACTACATTTCATTCCTGCAAACACTATGATTTAGCATTCCCTGGGGTTTGCATTTAGATTGTTTCCAGTTGTTTGTCAATATAAAAAAAGTGTATAAGTTTATACACAAAGATTTTGTATATGTGTTCAAGCATTCCCAAAAAGCAGAATTACTCTTTCTATTTAAAACAAAGCATAAAGGGCCTCCCCGGTGGCTCAGCGGTTGAGCGCTGGGTTGTGTAGCTGCCCGCAGCCTCTGCAGCGCCATTTCGATCCCCGGCTGCTCCCCGGCCACCAGAGGAGGGTCCCACATGGCGCGCAGACCTCTCCTGCCACCCGCTGCTCCCCTCAGCAGTGTACTTCGGTCCTTCTGCCTGCTCTGCTCCCCACTCTGGCTCTGGTGAATTCTCTCACCCTCCCGCGCTTCTGACTGTACCCAGTGCATGTGTAAATAAATAAATAAATAAATCTTTTTAAAAAGATAAAAATAAATAAATAAATAAAACAAAGCATAAATACCATTAATTCAAAGTTCTCTGCAGAAGGGCTGCACGGACTTACCTTCTCAGCAATGAACTGATATTCCCATGATTAGCTCCTCCTTGCCACCCCCCACCCCACTACCTCCCCTCCCCATTCCTGCCCCCTCTATTCCCTTCCCCCACCCCTCTCTCCCCCCTCCTTCCCCTCTCTCCCAGCCTCCAACGCCACCCCATATTGTCTCAGGCGCCCTGCACGCCTGCAGGCCCGCACACACCTGCTGCACCCTGCTAACCACCACTGGAGGGCGAGGACGCGGGGCGGGCAGGACGAAGGGGCAGCGAACGCGGGAGGTGCCCCCTGGGCCGCAGGTTTCCTGGCTGGACCCGCGTTGGGGTGCCCCCGCCTACGGGCCCCAGCTCCCAAGACCCAGGAGCGTCCCCTTGGTCCCCACCCTGTCCCCACCACTGCTGCCTCATCCTCTGGTCTCAGCAGAGCAGCTGACTCTGGCCCATCAGACTCACAGGGCGTGTCCCCGCCACGGATCTCTACAATGCCTCGGGCATACACGCTTTGACGTCACTGCATGGGAGCCGCTGTGTGGGGTGCGGGGTTCAGGGAGCGGGTTCCTCTGCCCCCTCAGAAGGCTTCACCAGAGCCCCTTCTTGTGGCCCACGGGGGAGTGCCCGCCAGGCAGAGACTTCAGTTGCATCAGAAGGGCAGGTTCGCCAAGAGGGAGGGTAAGTTCCTGGGAGCTGAGAGCGGAGGGGGCTGTGACCTGCTGCTGCCACAGGCCCCTGCCAAACAGCCCGAGCCAGACTGCAGCCGGTGTGTCCCAGGTCGCCGAGCCTCAGGGCCCTGAACCTAACCGTGGTGGGCTGGACAGCTCTGCCCAGACGACACCAAGCACTTTGCTGGCCAGATGTCGCTTAAGCGTGATCACCCCTCCTTCTCCTCATAATCTGTTGCCACCATTTCCATGGTGCTGAACATCAAATATATGGATGCTGGGATACAGTCTCAGATGAAAATGTTTCAGGGTTCCAGTGTGAAAGAAAACCAGTCTCTCCAGATATTGTCCATTGTGGAAAGTAAAAGTCCTCCATTCCTGGAAAAACAGTTCATCAATCTGATACCGGAATTGTCAGGCCTAGTCTCCCAGCCAGGAACGGATCCCAGGCTGCAGGGCAGCGCTGAGCCCCAGACACTAGACCCCCAGGGTTGGTGCCTCACCAAGCCACAGCAGGAACTTCGCAGACTTGCAGGCAAGCAAGCGAGAAGAGGCAGATTTGTTTAGAGAAAGAAAAAGTTTATTGAGGAGAAAAAGAGCAGAAATAAAGTGGGACTCCTAGGCCAGGGAACCAGGCCTGGGAGGGGCAAGGAAGCCAAAGTGGAGTTGTGTCTCAGGGAATATATACCTTTTTTCCCTCATTATTCTAAAACTCCACCAGTCTTTTTGTGATTGGTTAGTTCTGGGCTGTCTCACTTAATTTGCTACTGAGTGGGGGATCTTCACATTCCTCATCTAACAGGTTTGTCTTTCCCCATTTGTTATGCTTATCGCTTTATCTTTATGGCCTAGTCCTCTGGGTGAGCATCTCTACATTGAAGTTAAACAGCTGCCCTTCTAAGTTGTCCATAAATTAAACCACTCTCCATTTCTCTAGTCTCTACCTCCCTTTAGCACCTGAAGAAAACCAGGTGACCATCGTTAACATTATTGTCTGTGGTCCTGGGATGTTTGTTTTTCCTAGTGGAATTGGTTACATTCCCTTGGTTGTCCTTATCTCTGAAGCCTCCCTAAATTCTTCCGAGGTCCCCTCCTGCACTGTCCCTAAAACTGCCTAATTTCTAGCTTGCTCTGTGTCTCAAGTCCAAATTAAAAAAAAAAAATCTGGAGGCATTAGCCAAAGCAAGACAGAAAATATGTCAAAATCACAGGAAAAAAATCTTAAAATTGGTTCAATTTATGTAAAAAACTAATTCTCTCAACCTTAATCCCAAATTGTTTCAACAGCATAGCAAAAGCTTGCAAACTAAATGTACATTTAAACCATATTACCTATTTTTGCATAAAATCACAGGGCAGAATAATAAACAGCAATTTTAGCTGGCTTTGTTGGAATGCTCCATACAGGATCAGAGCAAACTGACCTCCGGTCCATGTATGCTTCAAGAACAAAATTGGTGTCGCCAGACTCCACCTGGGCTTTCCTCTCCTCGAGGGTACCAGGACTTTTTGTTTGCTGGGTTGTCCAGACCTGCCAATGGAGGCAAGCTTCCTCACCTTCTTTGGAGGTCTCTGGAACACTAAGAACAAAGCAACAGGTTCTCCTCTTCTTGATTCAGCTCTGTTTCCACTTCCTGGAAGAACTCCACTCAAAGCCACACAATGAAACTCATGTCCAATTTTTTAGTTTAAGCTGACAAAATCCCTATGGAAGTTATGCAAAAACAGACTCCGAGATAAGTAGTGAAAAAAATTACTACCACTATTTTCATGCTGTGTTGGTATCAAGGGAAGAAAAAATGTGAACACAAGTTAGCTCTGCTGAAAAAAGAAAAAAAAATTCAACATTTCTGCAGGTCCTGGTCAGTCAAAACAAGAAAATTTTATGTATTCCGAACAAAATGAAAAAAAAAAAATACCGGTATTATGTCAAAGAAAACTTAGTAAAAATCAGGTGTATTTCCAGGTCTATTCAGGCCTTTGTAGGAAAGTTTTACTCTCTACAGTTCCATCAATAGGAATCTGTTGAGGCATTTCCCCCCCTATTTTTTCTAGAAAGAATTTCTGTAGATAAACAATTGAAGTATACAATATTACAAGGTGACAATCACCATTAAAAATTTACATACATATCAGGTCAAGGTGTTACCCGTTTTCCCAAGTGACAATGCTTCCCTTCTAGTTTTTACTCTACTAGGTAAGCCGAGTAGGACAAATTCATCTAAAGCCTTTCCCAGGAGG